TACAACTAAGATAACATCCTGGACCCCCCCCACCAATTCCTCCACCTTTCCTCCACTTTCCTCAACGGTCCGTCTCTCCACACGCACCGGAGACGAGCGGCGCAAGGCATTGGCCCCTGCCCCTTGGCGGCCTGTGTGTTGGCCTTCGGTGCATCGGTGAGGAGGCCTAGGGGTGACGGAAGACTCGGACGCATGCACAGTCTTGACTCTGGTGGCAGGGGGTCCTTTTAGGTTGAAAGATGCTGCAAATGGTTTTTTTTTGGATGATGGCACTGCTTTTTTTCATGTCAGCCACTCGGGCCAACCTCGGAGCACTATGTGCGCATGTGCTCCATGATGGCAGGTGCTAATCCAACATACTCCAACAACATCTAACCTGTCCAGAGCCTCACAGAGCCTGGCGGAAACAAGAAAACAAACTAACAAGTGACTCGTCACCTGGACTCCTTTGGGCTTCTGCCATACCGAATGACGGCCATAGTGCTCCCCCCGTCATGCGGGCTGAGGGTCATGCCATGCGCCTCTCAGGTCATCACCGTATGCCGAGCGTGGGGCGGCTCAGAAAGGTGGTGCAACGAGTGCCATGAGTGGTTTGTGGCTGGTGCAACGAGTATATGTTAAAAACCCCTGTCAGATTACTTACGCTAACCTGGCAGGTAGAACATCATATCTTTTTAGCTGTTAAACATTGCACACACCAATTGGAGTTTTCAGGGAACCTGAGTTCAATGGGGAAGTGTATATGTTTTTTGCAGATGAGAGAACTGGCCATCATTGAACCTGCCTACGTTGGGGATCATTGGGGTTGTTTCAGGATGTTTCAGGGACCCATGTGGGCATATATTCCATGGATGGTATAGGGAATCTTAGGTTTGGGATTTGTGTTTCTGTGCCGTGCCCGGAAGCAACTATTTGATAGGTCGGATACTGCTTGTACCTTTCCTTTTAAGATACTCAATCCACTCTTGCGCGTAAGCTGTCGCTGTGGTGTGATTAAAGTTTATGTTTCGCGTAAGAGCACGTAAGCTTCAAACAAGTCCCTGTCCCTCGCGTAAGATTAAACCTGAGGCGCGTAAGCGTTGCAAAAGCGCATGCGTAAGCAAATCCCCATGGGCCCATTATATGATCTTTTGACCGGCGCTCACTTGGAACATTGACAAGATACTGGTTGCTATTTACCCTTCCCTTTGTTCTATCAAAGTCTAGCTGGATATGCAGAAATGTCATTCTACAAGCATCAAGTGCACAACTCTCATCTGAAGCTATACATAGCGACTTCCGTCGATTGATGCTTGGCGTTCTTGCACAACATACATCGCATCTCAAAAGCACGTTGTAGCTAGATAGGTCAAAAGTATTTAAAGGTGGAATTCCAATCTCCTGCTAAAATGGGAGGTAGCATACGTCAAAATGGGAAGTAGCATACGTCAGGCAGCTGTTAGTTTCAAAGTACGAAGTCCACAAACCTCACACACCTTTGAGGGGTGCTGAAGGGGAAGCAGAGACACGACGCCCTGGTACTCCAGCATTCAGCATCTCCCACCTTGTAGGCGCCCAACACTGACCAAGCATTTGCATGTAACAATAACAAGGTTGCAGCCATGTCATCCTTTGCCTCATTGCAGCAGGCATTCAAAGTGGTCAAAAGTCTTGGCACCTCCATCTTGTCTCAGCTGTAGCCACACCACATGCATCCCTACCTCAAAAGGTTATTATTCGTGGTGGGTGTGACAACGTTGCAGCTTTCTCAGAAGGTCAATGCTCACAGATTCAGATTCCAAGAGCGGGTCGTCCGCTTTCGCCAGTCAAGCCTCCCTCTAGGGCTACCCACCTAGGCTGGCCACACTACTCATAGAGTCCCAAGATGATACTCCTTCTCCCCACCCACTAATATGCTCTTGATTCATACAATTCACCCTTATAAATCCTTATAAGCCTTATAATAAGAAGAGTCAGAGGTGTTATATACATGGTTTTGCCATTACAATTCCTCATGCCTCGGGACGTTGTCGTTGTTTGGGTCCTGTTCGAGTCTACCCCATGTCGACCCGAGCCGCTGGAAACCACAACCACACCACCGAGGCACCATGGGCAGGTCCATTCCCAAAACGACCCCGTGTCACGAGGCAAGCGCCCGGATGGCCCAGACAGACCTGGCGGAGGGTGGGGGGGGGGGGGGGCTGGGGGGGAGTGGCCCTATGTAGCTAGTAAGGGGTCAGTAGCAGCTATATATATATATAGGAAGCTACTACGAATGGACACCGGAAAGCTGACCCTTCTTCAAGGAAGCTCCGAGGGGGGAGCTTCCTTGAGGAAACGATCGCAATATTAGGTTCCTAGATTTCGAGAGAAACTGGGGCTGTTGTGGTGTGTCCTATTCCAAGAAAGTGAACAATTGCAGTAAGCTTTTAGAAGCAGTTGAATTTGTAGTTGCCCACTTGCCTCTCTATCTTTGCCTGGTTGTGCTCAATTGGGCTGGGAACTTGTTCTTTGTTGTTGCTAAGTTTGCATTGCACTTTGCATTGGCACAGATCAAGACGATCTTCTCAATGTCCAACTATACCTGGGTGTGCATAAACTTATATAGGGAGACCTCCCAGTTCGACCCCTGGAAGAAGGAAGATAGACTACAACCCATTGGGCCAGGGTGGACCTCGCCACTCGTCACGGGACTGTTCCAGTCGTCAGAGTCGGCACCGTTTCTCGGGACGGAAACGGTTGAGGTTCCATCGCGATCGACATGAAGTCCGCCCAGGGTGTCAAGGCTGGCGCCAGGTCGTCGCGGAAGCGGCGGATTGGGACGGGAGACATGCGCGGGTCACCAGGGTCACCGGCACCGTCACCACCTTGTAAGTCCGGGCGCCGGCCACGCGCACGTTCCCTTGCCGGAGGCCTTCGGTTGGTAACCGAAGGTTATTTAAGGGCTTACGCCCGACAGCCGGCCAGGGGCCCAAGCAAAGGGCTGGTTGCAGTCGTGGTAGTGTGCGTGTCGTTGTTGTGTGTGTTGTGGGTGGTGAGGTTCTCCAGGTTGTGGTTGTTATTGTTGTCGTGGTTGTTGCTGATGTTGTGATGGTTGTTGTAATGTGGTTGTTGTGCTTGGTGGTGTTGTTGTTGTGGTGGTTGTTGTTCTTGTTGTCGTTGTAGTTGATGATGTTGTTGTTGTGGTTGTTGTTGTTGTTGTTGATGTTGTTGTTGGTGAGGTTCTGGAGGTTGTGGTTGTTCTTGTTGTCGTTGTTGTGGATGATGTTGCGATTGTTGTAGTAGTGTGGTTGTTGTGGTTGGTGTTGTTGTTGTTGCGATTGTTGTTGTAGTGTGGTTGTTGTGGTTAGTGTTGTTGTTGTTCTAGTAGTAGTAGTAGTAGTAGTAGTAGTAGTAGTAGTAGTAGTAGTA